CCCCGGCCAGATGTAATTCAATTTGGTAAAACGAGACCCATGCGATCGTTTCGACACGGCGTCTCGATTCGCCTTGCATCGATCACGAGAGAATCGAGTGGACACGGTGTTGTGCGCTTCGAAGGAATCGAGTTACCGGTGGATGAAGGAAAGCGGAGAGGAAACGGATACCCGGACAACGACTATGACCATGGGGATCGATCGTCGATCGAGCAAATTTTCTTTAATTATCATTCGTCTCGATCGACGATAGGCGATTTTTCCCTCTCTTCCTCCCCCCGACCCCCTCCCCCAAATATTTAGGAATAAAAGGAGATAATGTTGGAACTGGTGGAGCGAAAGGCCGGTGGGATCTCGTGGCCGAGTTGTCGAGGTGAAAACTTGGAATCGGTGGGCAAAGATCCGAAGGAGATGTTGTTNGGGCAAAGGGACAAAGCTTGCCCGAGGGGGGGCAAACGATGGAAGAGAAAGAACGGGGGAGGTGGTTTACTGTGCTCGTTGGGCCAGCTGAGATGCAGCCATACCTACTACACCCCTGACACGTTGGGCACGTGGAAATTTCACAGGGTGTCTCGTCCAAGAAGGTAAAATCGAAACGCGATTAATAATATAATGTTTTCAAGGCGAAATAGGGGGAAACGAGGAAGCGAGGATCGCGAGTTTTCGCAGCTCGCGTAACGAAGGTAAGCAGAGGTAAGCGAGCCTCGTTACGCGGCTGTGACGATGCAAGAGCGCAATAGAGAAAGTAATAGTGAAAGGTAAAGTGCGTGGGCGACAGTCGCAGGTGCGTGGTGGTTCCGATCACGGCGAGTCGAGCCGAGCCGAGCCGGTCCGTGTCGGGTCAGGGACAAGCTTCGTCCTCTCTCTCTCTCCTTGCTTTTTTTTTCTTTTATCTTTGCACCCTTCGTCAATAGAAACGACTCGAGGGTTTCGTTCTCCCTGGAAAACACGGGATCGAAACTTCCCCTCGTTTTCTTCTTTAGCTTCTATGGAAAAAGGCTAAGTCTTCGTTGCGTTAAACAAAGATATATCATAATTATAAGTGACGAAGATTTCTGATCGTTTTGGCGCGCAATTAACGAGATTAGAAGTTATTTAATATTGTCGCGTACAATTGAATTAATTCCGCCCGATTTAGCCAGCCACGAAGACGAATAGTCCAGGAGAAATGAATATTGATCGCGTGTTCCGAAAACTGGTCACGTGTCCCTCGTTACATCTCGATTTCAAAGAGATTGCCACCTCTTCTCGCGACGGCGACGTCGCGCCAATAATGCTATTTAATCAACCACGCCGGTTGCACAACTTGCTTACTTCGTTACTTCGACCACCCGTTCTACTTCGTTAAAAAAATCTCTGTGTGGAATGGGATTGCACGCATCGCGCGCGTAGTTGCAATGGACAAAGTCGAATAGCCGGTGGTTCCCTGCGTAAACGTCTCGTCCCTGACCGACGACGGCATTCCTTAGCCGGACGACGCTCGTAATATACATTTGCATTAATAGCACACGATGCGAGCACACGGCTCGTCAACTTTTCGAGCAAAGAGGAGGCCAGAGACGATTTCGAGCGATGCGACGATGTTGCCATTCATTCCCGCAGGGATCCTCAATGTGTTTTTCAATGCCCCCTTTTCATCGCTCGAAATTGAAATAATCTTAATAACACAACAACAAAAGTGAGAACAAAAGTCCATCTCTGATCGAAACACCAACTCCTTTCTTGAATTCCTCTTCGTTCTCTTTGGGATGCATGCGACTCGAGCACAGTGAATTGATACGAGTGGAAAGGGAAGAAGTAGACGCGCGTATATACGTTACTTGAACACGTGCGCAGTCTCCTTTTCACAACTTTTCGTCGCGTTTCGTTCACGCTACGCGAAATTTCTATCGCGGCAACAGTGCATAATCTATCCTCGCCATCGCTGGATACGTTTAGGAGGGAAAAAGACGAGAGGATTTTTCTTTCTCGATCGACGGGAACCACGACCCAACTAATTTATCGTATCTGGCATTTTGTTAGCTCATCCTGTAGCGTCATCGGTGGAACCTTTCTTCGGAAAAATGTGAACGATATGCGGTCTATACATGCCGATTCATCGATGAAGCTCGCGTGATTCAATATAACCATGGATATGGAGGATGTTATCGTGCAAATTTTAATCTTAACGATAAGAATTGAAAGTCGTCAAAGTATCTAGTCGTTTCTCATCATTTCCGAGAGTGAAACCTCGGGAAAAACCAGATCTCTCGACGAAAATGGTAATTAACGAATGTATCGCGAGTATACTTTTATGTTTTTGTAACGCGCGAAGAACAGCTGCATACGATCGTATTTGTAATTGTTCCGTGTAAGTATATTGTCGCGAACTGTGTGTACCCCTCTCTCTCTCTCTCCTGTAAATGGACGACGAAATAACAAAAATTGAAATTTCTCTTAATAAAATTACTCGTCGTTCGTTTTGCAATTGCTGTTATTCGGTTATCGAGCGAGATTTTATCGATGTGTATCGAGACGATTGTGGTAACGGTCATTTTCCTTTTCGCGCAGCCATGAGGGGATGAGCACTGGCGTAGGAGATGGAGCTGGTGGAGGCGGTGGCGGTGGGGGCGGAGGCGGCGGCGGCGTGCAGGGAAGTGGAGGCGGAAGAAATACACCACCCCATGGATCACCCACCCCCATGGATAAGGCGACTTTGAAAGTCCATCTGCCTAACGGTAACGGTCTCCATTTTTTCTCTCTCGAGTGAAATGATAATCAAAGTGATCGAAACGGAACAAACATTTTTTCGAGAGAATTGCTTCAAGCAAGAGTGTATATTATTGATAACAATTATTCGATCGATTTTTAGGTGGTTTCAACGTTGTTAAATTCGGTGATGCGATCGATGTGAAAGGTATCATCACTTTGGTGACTAGTCGGCTAGCGGTTGGAACCAGACACTATCATAACCTTTACGCCATGAGACTGCATCATCCTGGATCGGGGGAGAGTTACTGGTTGCATCAGGACACGACCATGTATCAGGTATTTTTTTTTCTTTTTCTTTTTTTTTTCGAAATTCAACGCCAATAATCGTTCATTATTATTATAATCAGGTTCAAGAAAAGTACGAAAAGAAACATCCTCATTGCGAATGGAGGTATGAACTGAGAGTACGATACTTGCCACAGAATCTCAACGATCTGTACGAGAAGGACAAAGTGACCTTCTATTATTATTACGATCAGGTATCTTCTTCGAAATCTATTTTTATACCTCGATTTTCTAATGTATATATATACGTTGAACGAATATAAATCAAATTGTTTGTACTATAGGTTCGAAACGATTATCTGTGCGCGAATCACGCGGCTCTCGATCAGGACGTGGCGGTGCAATTGTGTTGTCTAGAAATTCGCTACTTTTTCAAAGACATGCAACAGATCGCTCTCGACAAGAAGAGCAATCTCGAGTACCTGGAACGAGAGGTATGGATACACAGAAAAAAAAAAAAAAAAAAATATCCTTAAAAACTTTTTGACAATTTCCAAGTTTCGTTTAAAAATATCGTCACGTTCGATTCACAGGTCGGCCTGCACAAATTTTTACCACGATCCGTGTTGAATGGAATGAAACCAAAGGCGTTGCGCAAGCTAATACAACAACACTTTAAAAAGGTTGCGGTATTGTCGGAGCTAGAATGCATGTTCAAGTTCTTCGATCTTCTGCGTGCTCATTATAGATTCGATCAGGAGAGGTTTATATGCGCTTTGGGGGTGAGATTCAGTTTTGATAAATTAAGAAAATTGATCAATTCGTTGTTTAAATTTTTTTTTTTTTTTTCTGACAGTCGAGCTGGTCTATACCCGTAGAACTAGTCATTGGACCAGATTTAGGCATATCTTATATGGCTCATAGAGGTGGGACGGTGGTCAGTATTAAGCAACTTTCTTAAACAACTTTCTGTACGTGTTTTCTTTTACGTGTCATCGTATTTTTTTTTTTTTTGTAGCCAACGAGAATCGCGGAATTCTCCCAGATACAATCTATCCAAACGTTGGTATCCGATTGCAAGGAACACGCAAAAGCCTGTATTAAATTAAGAATAGCCGGAGCTGCTGAAACGCTTAGTATCACGTGCTCGAGTCTAGACCAAGCGGAAAGTCTGGCGGATTTGATCGACGGTTATTGCAGACTTGTCACTGGAACCAATACCTCGTTGTGGAACAGAAAAGGTATGTATGTGCAGAAGCATTTTGCTCGAAATATTTAAGCAGCCGTAAAGACGGGCATGCTTCATGAATAAATTATTTTCGATTTTTTTTTTTTTTTTTTTTTATTCTCTTTTCGCATTTTTTAAATTTCGAACAATTTCAATGTTGAATTGCGAACGAACGTTTTTCCTTTAGCTTCTCTCGATATTCGTGATAGTATGTCGAACAAAGAGACTTGTTTTGTTTATATAAAAATTTAGCTCCATTGTATTTTTTTTACAATATAATCGTATATATATTTCACTTTCCAAATATCTCGCACGAATTTCCCCTCTTTTTTTTTTTTTTTTTATGTTATACGAAAGATACTAAGTTATATAATCGTTTACACTTCCAAGCTGCATCGTGGAAAAATTATCCCTGTCCATGCAAAGGTTTGTAGTTTTGAATGGCCCCATACCGTAGTTTAGAGTGATCTTTAGAATGATTGCACGACGAGTTTGAACGACGTTCATTCGCGATTATTGATTGTATCCCTCGCTTTGAAATAGATGCTCATCCCCCAAAATACAGACAAGACGGTTCCAATAGTCCGGAGAAAAACGTAAGCAAAACGGGGACTATTTTGTCGGAGGACTATG